ACAAAGAAGCCCCGGACTTACTTTCTTGTGCCATGCTGATGACAGTCTCGGTGGTGGCATGGTACTCGTCTTCCTCCAGATAGTCGTCGTGCTGGAAGGAGTCCCCCTGGAAGTCGTGCAAGTCCAAGATCTGCTGCAGCGGCGGGGCTTTGGGCAACAACTGGTTGACCACCTCCCGGGTGATGTTGGGCGCCTCTTTGAGCCGCAGCTTGCTCAGGATCTGGGATTTGATGCTCTCCAGCCGCATCTCTTTGCTGTGCTTCCGCCACATGCACACCGGGCAGCCCTGGTCCTCGGGGTCCGTCATCAGGGGGACTCCCTCCGTGGGGGCTTTATCCGCCCCTCGCTCGCCGGGCTCCCCCGTGCAGAACTCCAAGGACAGGACCAGGAAGCACCAGAACAGAGAGGACTTGGGCACCAGCATGTCTGGCGAGCGTCGCTTTCCCCCCCAACCAGGCAAGCCCCCGATCGGCCAAGCCCCCTCGCTCGCCTTTTTCTCCAGCGAACACGGATCTCGCCGGCTTGGCCTTGGGGGTGGATGGCGTGCGGCTGCGGGAAGCCGGCCGGGAGGGTGCCGGGGGCCGGTGCCGATGCCGGGGCTCCTGCGGCTGGCGGAGGACTGTTAAGTTGTTCTTAGGGGCTGGCGACGGTGGGTGACTTGCTGGTTGGGGGAAGGAGGGGGGGCGAAGAAAGAAGGACTCTCCTTTTATATCCCAACTGAACTGTGTCGTAAAAAGCCTTGATTGGCTGCGGAGGCAACAAAAGATCTCCTGGCAAAAGGGCTGTCACCAAAGGGGGAACGCGAGCGAGGCAGCGCGAGGAGTTCGCGGCGCTCCTCGGGTGTCCCCGCGCAACATTCCAGCCTCGCTCCTCTCGGTGTCAAACCCGCCCGGGGGGGGGGGGGGGGCGTTTGTGGCCAATAAAACCGGGAGCCTCGAGGACTCGCATCCCTCCGGGATTCGGCAGGAAGGCGAATCAAGGGCTGATCAAGGCTGCGATGGGTTAGGGAAGAGATTGCCCTTTAAGTAACACTGGAGGGAGGGAGGGAGAGAGAGAGAGAGAGAGAGAGAGAGGAGCGGCGTTCCGGCGACTCTGCCCTGCTCTGCTCTGCTCTTCCCGCCCCCACCCCGGTTCCGATCCACCTTGCGCTTGGGGAGGCTCGCTGGCCACCGACTGGAGCCGGCCTCGGAGCCCCTTTTCCGCCGTGCCGAGGTCCCCCCAGAGCGCGCGTCGCCTTCTCCCTCTCGCCGCCGGGCTACTTGACAGTTTCTAAGTGCCCCGCGCGGTCTCAATCCCCGATCGATCTGACCGTTTCTAGCTCTCTCTTGGCTCTCGCTCTCGCG